TGTCCAGTCGTTGTCAGCGACTGCATGTTCGACACCCTCCGTCGTGCTTGGGTTCATCTCTTGTCGTGAGGCCGGCTCACCGCCGCACGGCCCGCCCGACCCCCGGGGCTCTGGAGGAACGCCTGGCTGTTTGCTTGTCTTGCTTATGAGACGGCGAGCACACACACACACAGACACACACACACACACCACACCACACTCTGGGACGTCCAAACCAAATGGCCCCGGGGCTGGTGGCCTACCCTGCGACAAGAAATAAAAGTACAACAAAAAGAAGAAAAAACAACCTCCGTCCTTTTTCGCGCACCCACCTTGCCGAGCCGCCGCGTCGTCGTTTCCAATCTCCTATCGCTGGTGGCTCCGGGGCCTCCGGGCGAAGGGGGACCTCCCCGACGGGGACCCCCTCGACGGCGACCCCCTCGACGGGGACCCCCGGGCCGTCTGGCGGCGCTCGTTCAGCCGAGTCAGCGCGGCGGAATGCCGAACGCGATAATCAGAGTCGCGACCGCGGAGGTGTGACCGCGAATAACATCACGCCGAGCCGCCCCGAACTGTTTGGTTGGGAGGAGTTCGGGAAGGGGACAGGGCAGAACTTTGTCCTCGTGCGCTGACCTCCGGCGGGACCCCGGCGGGGCTGAGGGCTCCCCCGCGAACAAATCGACTCACTGTAGTAAGAAGCGAACTTACAGCCGTTATTTTAGGCCGTTTGAACGTCCCGCAGAACTGTCAGTGACTTCAATCCCCTACAACTTGCAATAACATTTCGCAATTTGGGATTGCGCCTGTAAATTGGTTATTTCAAACTAACTTATTTTTTTTTTTTGTTGAGTTGTAGTTATACCTTTCATTTATTTTTTGCTGTGGAGCTACTTTGTTCATCACTTTGTGTTACAGGGTGGGTGATCCGCGCCGTGTTTTTTTTCTTTTGCTTATACTGTACCGGATTCATGCGTGCGCGCGGACTTCCCTATCGTCGCTCGTCATGGCGCCTTACGGCCCCGTGCGAGTATGCAACCCGTCCGCACGCATGAATCCGGTACAGTATAAGCAGAAAAGAAACACGGCGCGGATCACCCACCCTTTAGGACATACACTGTTGTAACAATATTAACATTTTTGTTTTGTTTCAGTCGCTGGTCGAGCACAGCAGACCGCCTCCCGAAACACTCCTCGGATGAGCTGCGAGCTGCACGCGGCCCGCGCTGCGGCTGCCGATTCGATCGGTTCGTATTTTTTCCCGGGCTTGTTTGGGAGAGTTACTGCGACAGGTGAACGGCCCGCGGAGCTCCCGCAAAGTGACGGATCGCACCTGGAGTACCCGCTGGCGGAGAGGTGGTGTGGGTTGCCGTCGGGGGAAAACATTTGGGGCGGGTGTGTGTTGAGCAACGCAAAGGGGTAGTGTTAGCGGGAAGGGAGCTCGGTGTACGAGGCGCGGGCTTATGCGAGAGCGGATTCGCGACATTCCTCTGGGATGAGAGAGATAGAAAGGGGGTGAGGGTGGTAGGGAAGGTGCTGGTCTAGCAGCAGGGAAGTCCGCAGAGAAAAAAGGAGCACCGGGGGCCAAGGACCTGCCGCGACGACGCACGCCACCACCTCGGGCGAGGGGTGCTCTACAGGTAGGGGCAGCAGCTCACCGTCGAGCGGGGCCAGAGAGGTGGCAGACATAACATGTGTCAACCAAGAGAGAGAGAGAGACAAGCAGATAGGTCATCACGACCCTCCTAGGCCAGCCGCTCGTTCCACCCGCTGCCGCTCCTAATGCCCCCCTCCCTCTGCCCTCCGCCCTCCGTCCCTCTCCCCCCCTCTACGATAATAACAGTCGGAGGAGGATGATGAAATATTATTAGCCGGCTCATCGCGCTGACATCTCGCACGCGTATTTTTTCGTTTTAATATTCGCTGATGCCTTTAACCACCTCTCTCTCCCCCCCTCCCCCCACCCGCTT